CTTTCCCTGAACTAATCAATATAAACCCTTCTTCCGTGTGTTGGATTTGCCACGATGATGGTAATGCCATCTGAGCGGGGAGTTGTGCTGTGTGCGCTTTACCTTAGAGGAGTTCAGGGGTCCCTCTGCCCGTTTCTCTGCTCTTTGTCTCAGGCTGTGGGACTCCTCTGGCTTCCCTTTTGCTAATCCACATTCAGATAAAGCCGAGGAAGGCTTCCCCAGTGCTCTGTATAAATCTCAAGCTTAGTCTTGATACTCCTTTCGAGAGGGCAGTGGGGGGAATCCCTATGTCCTGGAGGAGGCAGGAAACCTGAGAGCTGAGCTTTCTAGTCAATCCTTTTTCCCTGGAAAGTCGTTAGGTTAGTTCAGTACTCCTGGCTTCTCTTAGGGAAGTGATCGTGGTGGGTGGGAAGTTCTTTGCTTCTCTTCTTCCTAGATCAGGTGATAAAAGCAAAACAATCTTGTATTCTTAAGTGTCTCAGGATACAGGAATTGTTTTAAGTGACCTACATCTTAATATGACTCCAGTTACTACTATTTGTATGTGGTGACCAGTTGAACTGTGGTGAGAAAGGTGAAGCACTTGGTTTAGAAGATCATGTGGGTTTTGATCGAGTTTAGTAGTACAGAAGAGGGAATTTGCGGATTTAAACTTGATGGCCTTCTTCCTCTCAAACATTTGATGCACTGTTGTCCGTACAGGCAGAAAAGGCACCAGGGAAATGTGTCTAGTGGCTCCTGAGGGAGTTGCCAAAATGCCAGAACAGAGTGGCAGCCTCTGAGCGGTGGCCACTGCTGAGCAGTGTACATAGGGTCATTCCTGCCTGATGGCTGGGGAGCGGAAAATAGTTGTTAAACTGCTTAATCCATTGTGGCTAACTTAAAGCATACTGGATGTCATCTTAGTACATATGAACTATTGTAGTGTTGCATCTCTGGTGTCCATAACTGTCCCCTGATGCTACTAAAAATAACATAATTATAGGATTAAACAATTGGAAAATGGTTTCTTGGACAGCTTTTATTCATTGCATTGGGGGGAAAAAAAAAGCAAACACCTATTCTCAGGAATAACTCAAATATTTGACCTGATTATTTTGAATGAAAAATAGACTTTAAATATATTGTATTTTTAACTGTAGAACACACAATAATTATGCTTTTCTTCAGGTTGCAAAACACTTAAAAATCAGGTGCGTGTGAAAGGGAACAGTAAGCAGACAACTGTAGCCCAAGGAATTGGGTACAATACGATTTTAGGCCAGCTGGCCTGCCTTACATGCCTGAACTTGTTCTCAGACAGTTTCTGTAGCTTAATCCCCCTTTACTTTAATGCAGACAATTATAGATTGGTGACATGGTTTATGCTGAGGAATTAGCCGTTACAGGATCCTTCGCGTACTGGCAGCTCTCGTTTACTTTCCGCGGGGAAGAGCTGTTGCCCGTGTTCAGTGGCAGCAAGTAAGGAGCAGCTCCCGCTGTGACATTCTCAAAATACCCCACACTCAAAGCTCCTCACCACCTGCTTTTTGGGGTTCAGCTGCTGGGGGGCGGGGGGAGCTGTGTGGATTTGTGCTTACGGCAGCATCATGGTGTTGGTTCTGTCATTCAGACCGCACGCCGGCCTTTGGCGAGGCACAGTGTGAGTGCAGGGACCGCGAAAATGCTTCGGCTGCCAACGTGTTTGCTGGTAGGTAGGTAAAAGCCTGCTAAAGGCAAGTGATTTCCTTTGGTGGTTTGGGGTGTGCTGAAAAAATGGTGTGCCTCTTCTGTGGCTTCTCCGTTTCTGTCCTTGTGCTGCCCCTGCATGGTGTACAGCTTTGCTTCTAGTCACCACAGGTTTCTGTCTTCTCCCTGGAACATCCCACTTTGTGTTTGGAACGGGCTGTTTTCAGCTGAGACAATGAAATGTTCTTCTGTGGCTTAATGTGAGAAAATACATAAGCTTCAAATTAGCCAGCTCTTTTGTTTTTTCCCCTCTCCTCCTTCAGCTGTGTCAGCTTAAAGCTTTCAACTTCCCTCAGTGGTCCTTTTGAATCGTTGTACACCTTCTAAGGTAGTTTCCCAACCTCATGGTTTAGCGTAAGAGAGGTCAAGAACGAAGATAACTGATACACAAATTTTGCTTTCTGCAGTGATGTCTGTTGAAAGCTCTTCGCTGATTAAAATTCCAGCCCTTCACAACATCTTGAGACTTTCCACTTAATTGCCACGTGTCATCTCTATTGAAAATGTTTGAGTTGAAAGCTCCAGGTAAAAGTGCTTCCCTGTGGTGTAATGAGCTGCTGTTCCCCACCCCCTTTGGTTTCTCACGGCTTTGAGGCTCGAGGAGCAGTAGGATAGCAGTGCGATGTCCTAACCCGCAGTATTGTCAGTCCAGTTCTCCAGTAGCTGGAGCAAATAAAATCCAAAGAACATACTGGAGACAGAGTCAAAAAGAGTGGACTTAGGATTGCCTCATTTGGCTGTCCTCCATGTACATTTTTAGTCTCTCCCTCCTGTATCACGTAGAGATGTTCCATTATTTAGGAGTGAGGAATTATCCATCTGCTGCTGCACTATTTACCTTGCACGTTTCTTTCTGTTTATAACAATAGGCATCTTATGGGGTATTACGGTGCCTGGGTGCATTTGGAGAATTCACAGGAAGGTCTGTAAAGGTGGAGAGTGCAGGTATGGAAAGCCTACAAGGCGTTCTACTACCATATTACGGGCTTGAGATTTTTATTGTACTTCTATATCACTGCTCAATTTCTGCATTGCGTGTTTCCAGGAGAATAACACCTGACTTCTCATGGCAAAATATTGCTCCGTATGCGAGCGCTGAGGACACGCAACGAACATACATTACGGCTTGGACACTTGCCTGGCTTTTCCCTCTCTCCACAGAGGGAGAGAAATGAAACCTGGCATTCACTTTATTACAGTTGCTCTGCACAACGGAGTGACTGAGGCCATTTGTCAGTGTTTTCTACTTGACTTAATAAATGTCCTCCACTTGCTGTCCGTGTATGATCTAAGGGCTACATCCTGTGTGAAATTCTGGATCGAAGGCTGACTCGGTGTTGCATGCAGAAGTCCAGCCTTCGCTTTTCCTGAGGGCTCAGGAGAATCGGAGCGCTGGAAGCTTTCGCCCGTTAGCTGGTGATAGGTGGTGTGCCTGTAGGAAGGGGCAGGAGCTAGTAAGAGAAAAATTTGTGTGCTAGATTTTGAGCTTAAGGTTGGATTTTACTTGGATTTTTACTCCCGAAAAATCTTTTCCTTAAAAAAAAATTGTCTTTAATCGAATAACTTGGCAATAAATAAAAACTTAGAGATTCCTGTAACATTTATGGTTAACATTAAGTTGTTGCTTTCTACTGTAAATGTTACTTTGGAGTGCAATTCTTGTGTGTCCCCACGTAGATCAGACAATCGACCTGCACAACATAAAGCATTTTTTAGAGTTCAGCTCTTCAAGCTGGTGGATTGCAAACAAGCAAAATGCCATTCCTCGTGTCAGCCAACACGGTGGGTGGTGGGAGAGGTGTGTGGGAAGGTAGACCGTGCCCCCGGTTCACTTTCCCTCTGCCTGTTGTGTTGGCCAGCCCTCTGATGTCCCTTGTCTCTGTTAGGATGAGCTGTTTGTATTGCTTTCCTTCCAAGATGCCTAACCTTTGTTGAAAGAATCCGACGTTTTATTGGGAACAGAAGGATTAGGTGTTGTGCATATGCCCGGCTTTACATAAGGCTGCTATGAGTAAGCCTCGGTGCTTCTCTTTCCTCATTCTCCCAAACAACAATCTGATTGATTGAATAAAAAATACTTCCAATTGCCCATATATTGCGTTTTGTTTGCAAAACAGCGAGGATGTATGAGGAGGCCTCTAGTTTGTGAATTGATTTGGAAGAGTTTCTTTTATTTTTGAATACTGCGTGGTGACCTAGTTAATTGGGAGTAATTACTGTCTAAATATATTGGTTTAACATAACAAAAGGCTGTCTTGAAAAAAAAACGGGGAAGGGAAAGAATGGCTCAAGATAAACCACCTCTTTGCAAACACTTAAGAGTTGTTAAGGGACATCTCCAGAGCTATTAGCAGAGAAGATTTTAACTTCACTATTGTAATTTAGCTCTTGAGGCTTGAAACAAAGCAGCAGAGCAGAATTGATCTGAAAAGGAACACTTTTCTGTGGGTAGTGTTTAGTTGGAAAAGCACTTGACATGTAAGAATCATGGGATGCCCTTGGAGAGGAAGGAGAGGGATATCCATTGTTAGAATGGATTTGGTTGATAATGTGGAGCAATAACCTTTATTGGCTGCCTTGTCCCCTCTCCCTTTCCAGAATCTTGTTCTTAGGACTAAAATTGAGACCAAAGTCTTGATTTTAAGTAGGCGCACTGGTCACTGGGGTGACTGCTGCTTGCAGGCTTTTTCAGGAGCTTGAGGCTAAATCCTGTCAGACCTGCTCTGTAAGTACAACTGAGCTACAGACTGTTGCAGTCCAGGACTGCTCTAAAAATGGAGAAATTGCTTAATTTGGGAAAGGTAAGGAGGGCCTGACACCTGAAGGGCTGTGTTAAGAAAGAGATGTATGGCCATCCCTGTAATTAGGAGAGATCAGTCATGTAAATGACCCTGCCTGGATTTGGCACGGCTCATCCTCCTTTCAAAGGTGGTTGGTTATAATAGTAATTTATCTCCTATGGCAGAGAGCAAAGGGATAGTGTGGTGCAAGTCACACCTAGGAGGAGTAAAACAAATCAGACATGGATGTGTAAGCAGAAGCCTTAAGATGATAACCCTGTCCTCTGAGGTCTGACTTCATTCCTGTCCTAGCAGTATCTGCACTTGGTGCTACGCAGTTACAACTGGGACACACGGGTCAAGACCTAAAAATGTATATACATGGCATATTTCAGGGCCTTACTTGTGTTTGACCTTGAAGCCATCTCTCTCTTGAAATTTGCTTATAAAGCTCACCAGCATTACGTGTACAGTAGAGAGGCAGAGCTGTGAAGTGTGCCGCGTAGTCCAAGAACCTGCAATTAATCAGGTTGCACATAGTTTCCTTCTGCAAAGGGCACTCATTTTTCCCAGGCAAAGTACTGCATTCAAGCTGACACTTGGGTTTTCTGGGGAGCAGGGAAGGAGGGGGAGCACCAAGAGTGGAAACAAAGCCAGCAGTGATAGGCTGCTGGTTGTGTAAGCAGAGAACATGACTAAAATGTGAGCGCTGTGGGTATCTCTTGCAGCATAGCGGTGCCGTACAGCCTCGCAGCGGCTATCTCTTAGGGTCGTCTGTGTCAAAGAGCTTGAACTTAAGTCAGATTTGCTTTGTCATCCTGACTTTGGCTCTTGCCACTTTCGATTTCTCTTTAGTTTCTGGAAGCTTCTTTTTAATTCTCTAGTGGGAAGGCCAAGATATATCCGAACATACAAAAGGGCTTGCTCCAAACAGAACCCTACTGCACATTCATCAGAACAGTGGGAGCAGGAAGGTTGGTTTGTAAATATCTCATCGCAAAAGGGTGGCAAATCTGATTTTTCCGGCGTGTGTTCTTCTTTAGTTAGTTTTTAACTAAATGTTGCAGAGGACTGGAGTTGTTTCCCAATGGCAAAGCAAGCAGTGAAATATGACACAGGGAGGGGAAGAGAGTTGGCAGAGGGCCTGTGTGCACAAATAGCCCACTACCTTTTGAAGCCTGTTTGCAGCCAAGCAAACAAAAAACCACTGCAGACTGCCTTACAAAGAACTACAGTAGCAATCTTCCCCTTGGAACTTTTCTTTTTTCCTCTCTATGTCAATAAAACGTCATTACTACTGATTCCAGAATCATAACTCAGAAGATGTTGTGGTGTGTCTGAAAATGTATTTACGTAGTAGTGACTTAGGAAGAGAAAGAGCTGTATTGTTGTCTCCTGTAGCTCTCAGGATACCTTTTGCCTTGGATTGCTGTAATGCAGGAAGAAATCCTGGTGAAAAGTAAACTCTAGATCATAGTGTTAGCTGGCTGAGCGCACAGGAGTCTCTTGGCACAGCCCCCTTGTGAGTTATGTAAATCTTGTGCAGTGTATAAGCAACAGGCGGTTGGTGACGTAAAACTGAGCATTTGTCTCTTATTTATTGGCTAATGTGACATGCACCCTTCCTGTAGCATTTGACTGAGCTGGCTGTATTAAATATAGCCCTGACACTCCTAAGTAGAAAATGCCTCAAGCTGAATAATGGCTTCTGGTCTGAAATTCATTGTTCTCGGTGTGGAAATCTTACATGGTGGCTCTTTTGTTTCCCCATTGTATCAAAGTCCGTTCCGTGTTGATGGTGAAAGGTCTCGCTGGAGGCCTCGGTTTGCTGAATTTGCCAATCGATCACCGGGGCCCTGTTGTGCAGAACGTTCCTCCGGTGCCTCCAAAGGCATTGGCTGTGCTCTGGGAGTCTTAGCAGGATGTCAGTAACTCCTGCGGTGATTATCTTCTGTGGTTTGATGGATTACCAAACTGATACATCTGTTGTTTAGGAGGCTCACAGGTTGGCCCAATACTGCTATTACCCTCTTTGACCCAAGCTCCAGTGCTGTTAGCTACCACATTTTGGGTCCTGTCTTTTCTGTGAGGAGAAAGCAGTGATCCTTCTCCTATGCAGTTCTGATTTTATCCAGAAGGTTTGATTTATTTTTCCCTTGAACACTGTAGGAATTGAACAGGAGGCTGTTTCCTTGCTCACCGTTTCGAGTCTCTTTCCAGCTGGCAAGCTGTCCAAAAAGCCCTATGTTTGCTCTTTCTCTGGGTCACGCTGCAAATGTTTCTCTTGCTTTCACCTTGGTTTTCTGGCTTTGGTTTAGACACATGACACTCCTCCACACAATACAAACCCTCGATATATCCCTGCAGCTTCTGACTAGCCTTCTGCATGACTTTGTTTTAGGTAGTGGTTCCCATTTCCTGAAGTTGTGGGTTTGGTTTTTCCCCCCCCCGTCCTGCTCAGAAGGACAACACAGATTTTTTTGTAATCATGAGTAAAACACAATTGTTACTGCCCATTGCTTTTGGGGCAATTTTAATCATCTCCATTCTCATAGCACCAACTCACAACGTGTAAGTTAGGGCCACAACCTCACAGACGTGTAAACAGAGGAATTGCATGACTTGCCAAACACTTACATAATAACTTAATAGTGTGTCATGGAACAGCAGGTAAGACTCATGAATCCTCTTCCTGTTTGACTGCTCCTCTTGTCAAATTAATTACCATATGAGTTTCAGCTTCACCACGGCTCAGGAATCAATAGCATTTGTGGCTTTCCAAATGCCCTTAATATCTCACTGACTTCCACTGTCATTTGTCTTTGTTCAGTAAGAACTTTTGACTCAGATGGTTTATAAGTTCCTTTGAGCTGTGACTATCCAGAGCTGAGCAGACACTTTAATGATTAATAAACATCTTAGCGTACTCGTGGCTCATACATGACCATATGTTTCAAAGGCAGCACGGCTTGAGTTATTATCCGTAGCTACTGATGCCCTTTGGCCCTGAGAGTTATCGTGAGAGTGTTCTTTGTGTTTTGTTCAGCTTGTGCTCCTGTGGACCTTTTCTGCCAAAATAAAACTAAGAGGTTCAGTCCTTTTGCAATTAGCTCAGAAAACAAGGCTGGTGTAAAGAAACACCTCTTGTTTACATACTGAGGAAAGTGCTCTGCAGCAGCATCTCTTGAACTCTTCGGCAGATTTTATAAAGAGCTAAGGGGGTAGAGGTCTCCAAGACTCAGTTCCAAGATGTCCAGTGCAAATAAGAAACAGAGTAAAAAAGTGACCTAAAAAATAGTGTCCCTGGCAAGTAAAAGGCTGTATTTTGAGCTCCGTTATCTTGAAGAATCCATATGTGATAGAGAGAAAAGCTTCTAAAAACCGTGAGCAGCAGAGCTAATATAGCCTGAATAAATGGTTTTGCTTAACTGTTTAGGATGACATATGTAAATCTGTGAAAAGGACCTGAGCCACCTGTACTTGAGGTTGTAATCTGCTTTTTTTGCTTTCTAGGAATCTACAAGCCGCCATTGGAGCCTACTATGATTTTGAGAGTCCAAATATCAACGTACCCTCCATGTCCTTTGTTGAAGATGTCACCATAGGCGAAGGAGAGTCCATCCCTCCTGATACCCAGTTTACAAAAACATGGAGGATACAAAACACAGGTAAGGCACTTAGACTGTAGCCAGCCCCGTGTAGCGTGTGTTATGGGATGGCAGATCGGTGGAAGAGATGCTGGCTTAAGGCAGGATGTTTGTGCGTGCTTAACATGGAATAGAGCCACCCTGCCACTGAAGGGGGTGACCTGCCAGCCTGTGCGTGTTCCCTTTCTTACGCTGGCACAGTTTGTGGCTGGATGTGCAGCTCACTTAGTACCTCAGTCTTGTTCCTGTGTCACCACACAAAAGCTCTGGGAACATTCAGTAGGAAGAGGCAGGTAAAAGAAATTGAAGTGCAGGGGTTTGGGGGTTTTGTTGTTTTGTTTTGTGGATTTTCTTTTTTAATGGAAGTAGTTGGATCTGAAAATAGGTTAAGAATCCTTAGCTAGTCATGCTTCTGATCACCTGATGCAAACAAGTGGAATAAGTTTTTAAGACAGCGAAGAGATTCCTTTTAATCTCAAAGCCTTTTAGCTCATGACCAGCCTGGGTATTATCACTAATTCGTTGCCATTGCTCTGATCATCTCTGTCGTTCAGTCATTCGTCTCTCTGCAGAGCTGTGTCCTCTGTGGAGGCAGTGATGCAATGATCTAACTCTGAGAAGAGGTAGCTATGCAAGGATGATATGGCAGGTACCCTTTATGCTTTTGCCAGAGTTACTTTTTCGTGCTTTGAGAGGACACAAGGCTGGAGAGACCACATTCCAGTATGAAATAAGTCAAAACAGTGACAGGGATCCAGGAAGTGAGACAGGGCAAAATACCTTGTCAGTGCTCGTTCTGCTGGGATGCAGTCAGAGGGAAAAATGAGATCCATGGATGCATAGAGGAATACCTTGTCTTCAAGTGTGGGCAATGACAGGATGTTGCATGGATGTTTAAGCTGTGTGTCTGAATTTAATTGACCTGCTTGCACTTTTGTGAAGAAGAATGATGGCACAACAAGGTATAGTGTCTTGAATCATCATGAATCAAGTTCAGCTGTGTTAGTATTTCTACTTGCAAATAACTGCAGTACTCGACTGCTGTACAGGTTTGTGCTGAATATCAGAGTGTAACAGAGATTAAGACCATACTAACAACCTCAGAGTATTTTATCAGGTTGTGAGAGGTGAGAAGAGAGTGGGTGGCTGGGAGTACGCTAATTTATAAAGGCTGTAATGTAGAGAAAGGGCTTAATTATTTCAGTGTACTTTTTCCATGTCTGTTTGACTTGGTGCAGTGGAAAGGTGACTCTCGTAGAATGGTTTGGGTTGGAAGGGACCTTAAAGATCATCTAGTTCCCTCCAGTAATGAGGAAGATTGAGTAAGATTTTTTTTTTATAACTGTCTCAAATAGTACAGGCCTTACAAATGTACTAAGGTTTACATCTTGTTTCTCCACTGTTAGTATCTCAATCTGTGTGTGTTATGACTACACCCCTATCTTGCCCCTTTCAGACTCCTTTGATGTACTTTTGAGCATGCAAATCCAACCTTAATTTAACATCCTAGTTCGAGCAATGTTTCATTGTTCTTGGAATGTTTGACCTTCTGAAATTCATGGGCCTTCTGAAATGAGAAAAGTGAGTTAATCTTGAATTAGGAGATCCTGGCAAGGCCAACATTTGTTTTGGCTTCTGTGTGGGTTAAAGCCTGACTTCTTATGTCTTACAATACAGATGTAAGTAAGAATATAGCAGTGGTGCTGGAGGCCAGATCTTGTTAAAACCATACTGTTGAGGCATGTTTTAAATAAATGCAACTTCTCACTGTGTTACGACTGTGCAGTTTGAGGAGGACTGTAGTATTGAAAAACCATTTTATGGTTTAATTAAGGTATAGTATCAAAGGACTATAGTGTTTCCAGATAATATCTGCTTGTTAGGTAGATAACTGAAGCAAAGCCAAGGTTTTAACAGCTCTACAGGAACCTTTGATTAAATGACTTCAGTTCTAAAACACGAAATACCTGAGGCATGTGTCACCGGAGCATTTAGTGTTTGACAAGTATGACAAGCAGAGCTCTGAGATTGTCAGTTTTAAACAGGCAAGCAGTAAGCTAGGTTCGGTCAGGTCTTCATATGTGTTATTAAAAAACAGTGCTCTGTTCTGATATCTTCCAGGACGGTGCTTGGCTTGTCTGCCAAAAGACCAGTTTGTATAGTAGAACCATTGCTGAAAGAGCAGCAGGATTTAAGACTTATTTCCTCTTCCCACTCTACCCCCAGCTGCTGCTGGCTCTGCAGGACAGATACTACAACTTATCTCCTGAGAGATGAGTGTACTGAAATAGAATGACATAATCATAATTTCGTTTTATGGGCCTTATCAGTTGCAGCATTCTAGGCACCTTGCAAGCCTAAAGCCATTAGACCCAATAAAAATCACATAAATTATTAAAAGTGGACCGTGTTGCTTTGCTGCCAACCTTTTCAGATGAGGTTTCATACTCGACTCCCACACGCCATAGTCTGAGGTCAGCTAGTCACTTGGCTCCTCTTCTGAAGACCTTCCTGGCTCAGCACCGTTTCCAACTGTGAGGATATTCCCCACTCCGAATGTTCCACGTTACTGGTTCACATCGTGCTTTCCTTGCTAGGATATGAATTCCACAGATGAGGACTGGACTAGAAAACCAGTCCCTGCCATGTCTTCACTAAAGTATCTGCCGGGATTAAGTTAGTAGGCAAGCTGTTGCAAAGGATGCTCTTTAGGGTAACCTAAGGATAGGTCAGCATCCACCATCCTCGTCTCAGACTAGACAGAGTGATCCCAAGCTTCTTGGTGGTTCAGACTTTCCTGAGCTGTTTCCATCAACCTTAACCAAGGAGCAGGTATTCTTAAAGTCACTGGCTAAGTTGTGTCACATAACTGGGGAAGAAGCAAAAGATTCTGCTAAATGGATTTTTCACGAGTCTCAGAAGCACTTTCCTTTTTGTTAGTGCCAGTACTTGTTATCTCTGGTGGAGATGGCTGTGCTTGCGTGCTGTAACTGTTTTCTGTATCTCCACAGATTGCCAGGTCATGCTGTCAGCCCCGGTATCTGCAGTCTAAACACTGATCTCCACAAACAAATCCTATGTTCGCAATTCTTTCCACCTTTGCACAAGGGTTGGAGCAAGAAGGGAAATAAATCCATTGAGAAAATAGACCTGGCTCTTCGACTGTAGTTCAAACTATTAGTTCCTCTGGCAGCTGCTAACAGGCTTAAAGAATGAATCCCTGAAAGAAAATGTTTCCAGCACTCTATTATTAACCTGTATTCGATGTCGCGTGGCTCGGGAGCTATGTGTAGGGAGGCAGAAAGAAATGAGGAGGGAGAAAAAACCCACCTTGGCCTGACCTCATCTTTGTCTCTAGCACTGGTAAAACACATGTGCATGTTGGTTCTTTTGCAGCCGTTACACTGTGACTTTGAGAGGTTTTTCTGGGTAAAGAAGACTCAGAGATTATTGAAATAGAAATGTAAATTGTCCTGCTGGTCTCAGAATGGACCAATTAAGCCTTGTCTGGAAACTGTGTTCTCCTTCAGCATCCATTGCTGGCTGTTATGTGTCTTGGTATTCCTTTGACTCTTCAACAATTGCACAACTGTTTTAATAAGCGTGTTTCATCCAATCTTACACAAACAGACACAAAGCTTTTCCTGGTGCACTGTCAATAATTCTTTCTTCTGTTTAATCCCAGGGACAGAGGCGTGGCCCCCGGGAGTTTGTCTGAAGTATGTCGGGGGAGACCAATTTGGCCACGTAAACATGGTGATGGTCAGGTCCCTGGAGCCCCAGGAGATTGCAGACGTCAGCGTTCAGATGTGCAGCTAATGTAGCAGGGACAGTGGCGAATGTGCACCGCCACGGGACTCTATTACGGAGGTGAGTGATCCCTTTTCTGGCACTTGGGGCTCTTCTTCGGGAGGTTCCCGCCGCTGGCAGAACGGACGCCCCTGGCCCCTCGCAGACGCTCCCCTGATAACCACATGGTGAAGGTAGAGGGCTGCCAGCTCTGAGCCTAAATATAGAGAACGGAGACAACGTCAAGTGAGCTGCTTTGTTGTCTTGGTCAGCACAGAACTGTTTTCTAAACACGGGGACAGATTGCAGATTACACAAAGCTCTGAAAAACAAAGGGACGTGCACAGGTCTCCTGGAGGCTCTTTCCCAGTCGACCTGGGTTGGGATTCTTTCCTGGTTTTCCAGCACTGAACTACATACGAGCATAAAGTCTGAGTGGTGACAATCTCATCTGCAAAGTTGAGGCCCAGGTTTTAATACAGTGATTCGGTACTTCCACCGTGAACCATTTTTCTGTGTTTAAAAACCACATTTTGATATTTTGCCTGGTGCCTCAGCCTGAGCCACCAACATCTCCATTCCTTTGGAGTCTTTCAGTTGTTTTTAGCCAGTTTTAATTTATACCGAGGACATCTTTGTGTCTGCTGTGGCAGTTGGGAGTATCCCGAGTACATGGGTTTGAGTGAGAGCTGTTGGCACTCCGAGTCAAAAATAACTCTTTGCTGGGATGTTTTGGGCAGAAGTGTCAGTAATCTCTGGCGTCAAAAGTGGATGTAACTTGTCTCTGAAGGAAGGGCCTAAGTTCCTCTGCGCAGGTTGAAAGGCCTGTTCAGGTTGCATGGCCTGCCACAGGCCTGTGGATTTACAAACAGCTTTTCCCAGCTGCTGACAGTTGAAGATCTTGATAAACCTCCCGAAGTTGAAGGGTAGTCGGAGGCCACGGAGATGCTCCGAAGGCTGGACCCCCTCTGCCGTGGGGACAGGCTGGGAGAGTTGGGGGGTTCAGCCTGGAGAAGGGAAGGCTCTGGGGAGACCTTATAGCCCCTTCCAGTGCCTGGGGGGCTATGAGAAAGCTGGGGGGACTTTTTCCAAGGGCAGGGAGTGACAGGACAAGGGGTAACGGGTTTAAATGGAAAGAGGGAGATTGAGATGGGACATCAGGGAGAAATTCTTCCCGCAGAGGGTGGGGAGCACTGGGACAGGTTGCCCAGAGAAGCTGTGGATGCCCCATCCCTGGAAGTGTCCAAGGCCAGGCTGGATGAGGCTTGGAGCAACCTGGTCTAGTGGAAGGTGTCCCTGCCCATGGCAGGAGGTGGGACTGGATGATCTTTAAGCTCCCTTCCCACCCAAACCAGTCTGTGATTCTACGACTTTGAAAGGAAATGAGCTACCAGTTAAAATCCCTTTGGCTACCGAGCTTCGAGTTGGACGCCCTGCGAGATCATTAATGGCTTTTATGCTGGTTGGGCCCGACAGCTGTGTGAGGGCCTGCAGCGGCCGGGGCTGTGCCCGGTGTGTTTCCGTCGCGTCACGGCTGTGACAGCCCCGGGGCCGCCGGGATTAG